CACACCCACTGGCACAGAATGGAAGCCTGCTTCAGCACAATCTTGCTTTGAGCAATCTTCAGCTACACACTCAAGTCTGCAGCTCTGAGTATGAATACTGAGAAGCCAAGCTTTAAGGAAGCGAGCCCGTCAGTGACTATGGGGGAGATAACTGCAGTTAGTAAACAAAAGGAACACCCAAGCCTTGGAGTAGGAGAGATCAAAATCCAAAATTACTAAACTCTTCTAAAATGTCCAATTTTGAGGGGCATCTAGGTGGCTCCATCATCTGACGCTTGATCCCGGCTCACATCACGATCCCAGGGTTGGAGGATTGAGTCCCAACTCGTGCTCTGTGCTGACAGCGTGGAATCTGCTTGAGATTCTCTCTCTGTCCCTCCCTGACTCGCGCACATGCACACTTTCCCTTTTTAATAAAATTCCGATTTTCAGTGAAAAATTACAAGATATGCAAAGAACCAGGAACACATAACCCATGCACAAAAACAAGGCACTGAGGGGCCCCTGGGTGGGCTCAGTCAGTTAAGCATCCAGCTTTAGCTCATGATCCTGCGGTCAGTGAGTTCGAGCCCCATGTCAGGCTCTGTGCTGCCAGCTCAGAGCCTGGAGCCTGCTTCAGATTCTGTGTCTCCCTCCCTCTCTGCTCCTCCGCCGCTTGCACTCTGTTTTTCTCTGTCTCTCAAAAATGAATAAATGTTAAAAAAAAAATTTTTTTTTTATAACAAGGCACTGAATTAAAATGGGCTGAAGGGCCCTGATGGTGGGTTAGCAGATGAAGTCTGCAAAACAGCTGCTCTAAATATGTTCAAACGGGACTTCCACTTCTGCCTGCTTCTGTGCAGACATCACTCCATCCTGCCATGTCAACTCCTGCTAGACCCCAACAGGAGAGAGGACAGGACACAGGCAACCCCCCGTCCCCACATCTGGAGAGGCCAGCGACCCTGGGAGTCCCACGTAGCGTAGCCCGAGCGCCCCAGCAGAAACCACACTGAGAGCGAGCAACGGGGCAGGAAAGCGCACACTATCCCTGATGGATTGCTAGAGGCTCGGTGTGGACAAGTGTGAGTTAAACACTCTGGGGGAGACCCAGTCATAGAGAAGCCCCCCTCAACATTGAGAAATTTTTATCTGGGAGTAGGACCAAATTCCCAAAGCCTCAGAGAAAAATGCCCCTGGGTTTCCAGTGGAGAAGAGGAGAAGAACCATCCGGAAACCGCACAGCGTGAAGAGAAAGAGCAAGCATCAGAAGCAGACTGTAGGGACCGGAGTTGCCCCACCAGGAACCACGCACTACGATTCACATGTAAGGGCTCTATGGGGGAAGGCAGACAGCACGCCAGAAAAGACCGGCAAGGAGGTGGAGATCCCAGGAACTGAAAACTGGGAGAAGCACGAACAGAAATGAATGCCCACGACGGTGTCGTTAGCAGACCAGACACGGCTGGAGAGAGGGCCCCCGTGCGCCAGGGCCTAACAGAATCCCTCAAGGCTGAGAACACCAGGAAAACTCCACACGGCATCCAAGGGGGTGGGCTGCACAAGGTGTAAACACACATGTGGAAGCCCCAGAAGGACAGGGGACAGAAGGAAGAGCTCAAGCCACGATGACGGAGAATTTCCCCTAATTAACGTCAGGCACCGAAACCACAGGCCCCGGGGACTCGGAGAACACCGGGCAGGATAAATGACAAAACACTGCACCCGTGCACAGCGTCCTCCAACCATAATCCAGGTTGAACTTACAGGCCCCTGGGAGCCCAGATTTCAAAGCGGACAGAAGGACTGAACAGGCCTTACGGTGGGGGGGAGGCAGTAAGCAGGTGGAAAGGTGCTCCACATCCACCTCACCGGGGTACTGGCGACTCAAACACCACACACCGCGTACCTCGGCGAAGCCCGAATCGGACACCAGCAGGCGCCGCAGAGGACGCCCAGCGGGGCTCCTCCATGGGACGACCACGCGCCGATTCGCACAGAACTGAATGCGCGCTTCCCACGCCGCCCGACAATTGCACTTCGTGTTCGCCCAAATGAGCTGAAGACAAGTCCGCGTGGAAACCTACACACACGAGTTTACAGCTGCTCCTTCACACCCACCGACACCCGGAGGCAGGCGAGGGATAAACCGGTCGGTCCAGGCGGCGGGGGACTGCCGTGCACGAAGAGGAGAGCCGATCACGGGCCGTGGGGAAGCTCCGTCACCCTCTCCCCTTTGCTGCGAGCCTCAAGCTGCTCCAAAACAGTCAAATCTTTTTAAAATGTCCGATGAACTAAAGGAAGCTATGCTTAAAGAATTTACACATATAAACAATGACACAAATGCAGTCTCTATTTGACCATAAAAATAACCAAATGGCAATTATGAATTGAAAGGTGTGATAAAGTGAAAAATCCACTAACGGGGCTCCACACCAGACCAGAGATGTATGATATCAGGCAACAGAAAGGACTATGGAGGTCCTTCAATCTGAAGAACAGAAAGAAGTGAAGAAAAACGCACACAGCTCTGAGACCTGTGGACACCATCATGGTTAGTGTGTGCACAGCGGGAGCCTGGGGACGGTCGTACGTCACCCAGAAGCACTTGTTACTTGACCATCACTCAGGAGCCTCCCGTCTCGTACCTGCACCCACAACGCCCCCACCACTGCTCTCCGCTGAGCCCACGCCTCTCACCAACAGCCCTCCCTCTAGGAGAACCTGCTCCCGTCGGTGGCTGTGAAAACACGGCCACATGAGGCAGCGTGAAAATGCCTGCTGTGGTATCTCTTCCACTTCCCTCTGCATGCTGTACTCTGCAATACAGTCTACTTTTCTGCAGAATTTATAAATACAGAATTCAAAAGAAAGGAATTTATTCCTGGCTTAATCACTAACCAGTGTGGGACCCTGGACAAGCCCTTTACCCTCTAGAGCTGTGTTTTCCCCTGAAAAACAGGAGCGCTACCCCCCAAAGGAGGGTTTCCATGGATTCTGAGTGATGTCCATAACAAATGTAATTTTAACATGTGCTATTCACTGCTACTAACACTGCTTTACAAAATCAACAATTTGGATGCCATTCTGAGGTCAAGGCATTTTCTCATCTTTCTCAATGAAAGGGTGGCTGACCCAGAACAGCACTTGTGACAGAACAACTCTTCCCCCCAATACGAGAATAGTTAAAAGAAAGAAATCTAAAAAAGCACTGATGCTGCTTCGGGCTGAAAAGGATTACAGAATGCTGCAAAGGAAAACCACTTCCCAGGACTTCAAGGAAAGCACGGCTGCCTACATCTGCAAAGCCCCTAGTGGAAGCTAGATTCCCGGGAAGACCAGAGAGATGCAGCTGGCCCAGGAAGGGGGCACTGCCTGGCTTCCTCTAACAGGTACGAGGACAGAGCCTCGGACAGAAGCAGCCCCGTCTTCGCAACAGCCCTGGGGATCAGGACTGGAACTCACGCGCGGGAGGCCTCCCCTGGGCAGAACCCAGGTCTCACGTCAGAACACGAGGAAAAGGCAGCTCCACGGGCTCTTCTATTTGAGACCCTGAAGCACCCAGACGATGCTCACTGAGGCTGCGGACACAGCCACACAGGTGACACGTTACATACTCACAAGCAAAGACACCAGTAGAGCCACATCCCGGGGATGAACATCCGACAGAGACCCGAAAGGGCGTGGAAAGCAAGCAGAGCCAGGGGGGGCAGGTGGCCCCACCAAGGCAGGGTAAGGGCCGTGCTGGGGAGCCCCGCAGAGCTGGGCGGGAGTCGGCACCCAGATAAAGCCAGAGGAGCAGAGGCTGAGACTCCAGCGCTGCTCAGGAAGACGGCCTGGTGTTGGCCAACATGGCAAATCCAGTCTGAGGCGGCGAGCAGGGTCCACAGGACAAGAAGAGCGGGAGTGAACCGAGGCAGAGGCAGCAAGGGGAAGGGGAGGGGGCAGAGCAGGCGCTCACTGCCACCTCCCGCTGCCTTCACCAGGGCCTGGCGCAGAGCCGGCACCCAAGCACCGCGTGTCAGAGCCAGGAGCCCTCCCAACGTCACCCTGCTCTGCAAGGCCAGGGGCCGATGGGAAGGGAACGGTCAGCACCCCAGCACTCAAACTCACAGCAGAGGCTGTGGCAACAGGCCAGCACAGCGGACCGACTTCTGTCCGTCACGCGTCCGCTCCTTTTCCTACAGGAGCACAGGAAGTGAAACGCTCGGTGCTCAAAGCAGCGGCGATTTGCAGCGACTTCACCTCAGAGACGCACAGCGTCACGGGCTCCAGTGGACACCACGGCCCAGGAAACGTCCTCTGCGAGACCAGGGAAAAAACCCGAGATGCACACTTTCCACAGACTGGAAGACAGAGCCACACTCACCAAGTGTACTTTGGTGGCTTATCACACCAACATATACCAGCCATTTCAAAGGTGATCCAAATAATACCACTTCCTACTTGTGCAGTCCATGAGACGGCTCAGGGACCAGAAAGGAGTAGACTAGATACTAGACTTAGAACTTTCTAAGTTCACAAATTGCTCAAGTTTCAGAACCCAGCATCCCATTCTGAAGCTCCCGTCTTCACTGTGTGCGATGCGTAGACGCTGTCCTGATGCACATATCCATCAATCTCTAGAAAGACTTCATGTCAAGATACAAGTAAACTAGAAACAGTACTGACCAAAGTACTTAAAATCTACTCAAAGCACAGGTAAAACACCACAGACACCTATAAATCACATCGTGTGCTTTTTTACACTCACTTTTGAGGACTGGAAATGGTAGAAGGGAATACTACGTTCTGTGACAAGAACAGGGTGTTAGTCTACTAAAAAAGTAAACAAAAATACAAGATTATGAAAGATTAGAAGAAAATACCCCAGAGCGTTCACGGTGGTTGTAACCGTGCAGCCCGTAACAATTTCAGACCCTCCCTCACACTCTGCACCGCTTACCTGGAGTCTACACTGCAGAGTCTGAGAGACATTCAAAAAGCCAAGATAGTCTGAAAACGGGTTTGCAATTACTCACCACGTTGTAATAACTCTTGTTAATGGCAGTAGTATCAAATCCTTTGGGAGGGCTCTTCAACGTTCCTGATTTTGGAGACACAGGCTTTTCTGAAATGAAAACGTGAGGCAATTTTACTGAGCGGCATCAGAGGCCACACACACCAGCCCCACACAGCCCAGAGCTGCCAGTCCAGGGGCCTCCCGGGATGGCACCCACTGACAAAGAAAGCCACGGGCGGCCCTTGCCAGCCTCGCACTCACGCCCTGGGGTCAGGGAGCCGGCGTCCCCCCAGCCCGGACGCGCCTCACCCCATACTCCCTGGGCAGGCTCGGCGTCCGACAGGCCGTGCCCCACAACTGTCAGCAGAAGAAAGAACAGGAGCATAAGCTACGCTGACAAACGTGAAAACACGGAGACGTGGAGTCTGGGCTACACGTCCGATGTTCAGGGCACTCTCTCCCAACAAGTAGGATCTGGCTCACAGGGACAAGCCAAGGCGAGGGAAGGCCATCCCAAGCAGGGGCAGAGGGCCAGAACCAAGCACGGACCCTTAAGAACCTGCACCCCAGAAACCGAGGTGGGAGCAGCCGTGATCTGCAAGGATTCGAGCATTTGTCAGCTGCCCAGCTTCCACTCAACATGCTGAGGAGCTGAGCCAGCGGAACAGGGATCAAGGAAGTGTCTGCCAACACTCGCAGGGCCCTCAGGGTGGGCGCGCGTCGGTCACCAGCCACCTGGGTGGGGCAGCAAACTGGGGTGGTGGGGAGAAGGGCAAGGACATTGAGGGGGCAGTTCACACCCCCCGCCTCGCCTGAGTAAGTCAACGCTCCGTCCCTCTGGCGTGCTGTGCTCAGCAACCCTCCACCCACCGGCCCAACGGCCAGCGCTTCCCCAAACAAGGCCCTCGGGCCCAAACACTGCCAGAGCTTCAGGTCCCTGCCCAGTACTGCCACTGCCTTCCTGGCATCAGAAACCCCAAATGCCTAAAATCACATGCCCGATCTTTAACCATACGCCTTCCCCTTCCTAGGGAATGGTCTGCCTAAACCTTCCCCCAAAGCCTCGCTTGGTTTTCCAAACGTTTAACAATAAAGACCAAAACAGGTGTTATTCTTAGTGGAAAGAACTCTCTCTACTCACAGGATGGAAAACAGAACTCCGTGAGAAATGAAGGACTTCTGAGCCCCAAAGAAATACCAATGTGTCCTGGCTAACTAACACACCCTTTCCTTCCCAATCTCGCACCTGCAGCTAGGAATTTAACTGTAGAAAAAAAAAATCAACATGCTTTTATCTTAAGAAAAACAAGTTTTTTCACCTTTAGAACCCATCACTTAGGGGCCAAATACAGATAAAAATAAAGGAGAGCACTGAAGCCGGCATGACAGCCACCGCGACCACAGACACCAACGCGCACGCTATTACCTTGGATAGGATTTATGTTGTTTTTTCTAGTTTATTATTTTTGAGCGAGTGGGGGGGGAGTGGTGGGGGGGAGGGGGAGGGGGAGGGAGAGGGAGAGGGAGAGAGAGGGAGAGAGAGGGAGAGAGAGAGAGAGAGAGAGAGAGAGAGAGGGAGAGAATCCCAAACAGGCTCCACGTCAGCGCAGAGCATGACGCAGGGCTCAAACCTGTGAGTTGTGAGGGCATGACCTGAGCTGAAGTCAGACGCTTAACCGACTGAGCCACCCGGGCACCCCTGGTTTATTTTGAGGCATGGAGGAGGGGCAGAGGAAGAGTGAGAATCCCTGGCAGGCTCCACACTCAGCGCAGAGCCCAACCCAGGACTTGAACCCACGACCCCATAATCATGACCTGAGGAAATCAGGAGTCGGACACACAATCGATTGAGCCACACAGGTGCCCCAGCTTTGAATTTTAAAGTCAAATAATCTGTCAAGTGCCTCATTTAAGACACACCTCCCAACACCACAGACAATATTCACTTAACTTCCTAAAACTATGAGGGAAAGGCTTTTTCACAAGAAGTAGCATCAGGCTACTGGCATCTGTGAAAACAAAGGGCAGGCATAAGAGAGCCACGCAACGCAGGAAAAGGGGGTCCACAACTCTCCGACGGCTACGGGGGGATGACTGGCCTGGGAGGGCTGGGACCGTCTCCCCACACCTGTGTGCCCTTCTCGAGAGGGCGGAGGTAAGAAAGCCTCGGCACTGCGGCCACAGAGCAGCTGTGTCTGCCTGTGGCACCACTGACCGCAGCGCATCCCCACTCCAGGGCCCCACAGCCCCCCTGCCCACAGCCACTCCGGGGCCCCGCGGCCCCCCCCCACAGCCACTCTGGGGCCCCGCAGCCCCCCCACCGACAGCCACAACGGGGCCCCGCGGCCCCCCCCCACAGCCACTCCGGGGCCCCGCGGGGCCCCCCCCCCCACAGCCACAACAGGGCCCACTCCACACTTGTCCCAGTGCCCTGGCCCTCTGACAGTCATGCAAGGAGGGGACATCTGGTCGACACGACAGGCAGGAGAAACCTAGGTTCCCAGGTTTGCCTCCAGAACCACTGTGCAACCGGAGGGAGCCCTCCAGTGTCTGCTCCCCACCCACCCCCCAAAATAACAACAAAACCCACACACTTAAAGGGAAGCGATGGCCAAACTTAACAAAAACTGCGCCCAGGAGACATTAGAAAATGTTCAACCTTCCCAGCCTCTTAAGAAAAATAAAACTTTTTTGGCCCATCTGACGGCTGAAGATCGCTAAGATTCACTGGGACTGCAGGGTGAGAACGCAATCAGGGCTGCCTACCAGGCGCCGGAGGACTCAGACTTTCCCTTCCCACCAATGAACTGAAGTCACCAAAATCAAGAGACTTTAACCATGAATATGCTACGTGAATAAAAGGGAGGGCCAGGCAGAGACCCGACTCGGCCCTGGGCGACAAACAGGAGCAGCTCCGGGCAGGCGGGCCAGGAAGCTCCAGAGACACCGCAGCTCGCAAGGACGCGCCGGCTGCGTGGGTGCAGGAGACGCAGCCCCGGAGAAATCCAAACCCTGAGCCGGCCCCCCGTGGAGGTGTGTGGTCCGAATCCACTCCCAAAGGCCCACCGGGATCTGCCCGGGGCAAGGAAACCTCTGGGAGCCCCGAGGAAACAACCGTCCCTCCCTCTGCAGGAACACTCCCGCAGCCCTGGGTACAGAGGTACCCCCACCAAGGCCCCAAGGACAAACCTCTAACAAAGTTATAGCTCACGAAGAACCGCACCAAGAGTGTACACAGATACAACATACAAAGCAAGTGAACACTCAAGACAGAACCAAGGGGATCATTGAGGAGACTATGGAATAAGCACGTTTAAAACACCTGGAAAGAGGGGCGCCTGGGTGGTTCAGACGATTAAGCGTCCAACTCCTGATTTCAGCTCAGGTCACAATCCCACGGTTCATGAGTCCAAGCCCTACGCTGGGGTCTGTGCTGACCGTGCAGAGCCTGGTTGTATTTCTCTTTCCCTCTCTGCCCTGCTCGCCCCCTCTCAAAATAAATAAGTGTTTAAAAAAAAAAAAAAAACCCACCTGGAAAGAAAGAACCATGATGAATAAAAAATGCACCATGAAAATGAAAAACACCTGAGAAAGAATGAAACCATCTCCGGAAATGAATACTCTGGTCACTAAAGTGAAACCCAATGGACAGTCACCATCATAGGTTAAGGGGAGACCAGTGAACTCACAGATTTGAGGAGTGGACCCCAAATGAATAAAATCCAGCAAAGCAAAAAATACAAAAGCCGGATTAAAAGCCACAGAGGGCAAAGCAAGACACCTCACAGGATTTTCAGGAAAAAGCAAAAGGAACGAGCAGGCAGCTGCTGGAAGACCCCTTCCCGAAATGGCATTTTGCACCCCGGGCTAGCGCAGCACACTACGCCCTGCACAAAATCAGAACCACCCCGCAGGGAGGGAACAGTGGCTCTAAGGTAACAGGGGGGGACCCTTGGGGTAGCCATACAGGACACCCCACCTCATCCGTGACGCCTATGTTCCAAGACCCTTGGAAATGCCCCAAACTGAGAATACCAAACCGTACACACGCTACGGTTTTTCCTCCACGTACACAGCTGTGATAAAGCTTAATTTGCAAGTTAGGGACAGAAAGGGATTGACCAGAACCCCGACAATACACTCATAAAGGTTACGGGAATGTGCTCTCTCTCGACATACTGTGTCCTGTACTCCCCCACTTGCGAGGGCTGGAGGGGATTCAAATGTCCACCAGGGTAGGGAGCCGCGTGACACAGAGTCAGGCCGCTGCCGCTCCTGGACCTCTGCCGACCTCAGGTAGTGCCCTTGAAAAGCAGGTCCATGAATGTTACTGTCGTAACGGCCCCCACCCCCAGCTCAGGTGAAGGCAGTCAAACACGGGTGTTTCGTGTGACCCAACCACCCCAGGCCCTTCCCTGTGGCTGCTCTGGGAGGAGGCAGGCGCGTGGAAGAGGAAACAGGAATAAGTGGTCTTAAGGCTCCGCATCCCCCACCGCCCTCGGCTGCGAGCCGGTCAGCGATGCAACAGAGCCTGCCGTCGGCCTGGGAGCCGCCAGCTCCAACTTGCTCCTCCCATCCTCTGGATGACGGCCGTCACCTCGCTCATGAGCCCCCCACACGGGTCATGTCACCAGCTTCCTGGTGGCCACAGTGCCCTCAACCCGTCCCGTGGGCATGGGGATAACGTGCTAGCTACGTGTTAGCTCAGGAGCTGTGGGGGACCATGCCGGCCCTGCTCTCACCGAGCTTCGACAGTGAACGCTCGGACCCCTCCTCTCCTCTTCCGGAAGCCTTACAGGGTGGATCCTGGACACTGGCATCTTGGCCACTGACACTCCAGTGCGCGTCAGATTCGTCAAATGGCAATCCAGTATCAGGCCACTACCACACCTGACAAAGACAGGAGCCCCTCGTTATCGTCTAGTGCCCAGTCTGTATTCACACCTCCCCGGACTCAAATCTGTTGTCGCCTTGACTTTGTGAGGCTGGCTGAGCCGACACAGGAACCAAGTAAGACACACACAGTGTGTGCGAGGTCATGCCTCTCAGGCTTTGACTTCATGCCAGCAAAGCCTCGCGGACACTCACGTTCTCAACTGTCTACAGCATTTTCTATTCAGGGAACCTCGGGTCAGCTTCGTGATTTCCGGAAAGACCCCTCGATTTTTCACTATTCTTGTTCCCTCACTCCCCACATCAGGGTTCACTCAAGTATTTGTGGAATGGACGCTGCCTGTGGCTTTTGAACCAGAGCACCCCTAACAATCCTGAGGATGTACGCAGAAAACACAGCTGACTGGCAGAGGGGTGGAGGGCGGAGAAGGGGCGGGGCAGGTCCCCGTGTTACAAAGCGGGGCCCCAAGGGATAACTGCGCAGCGCATACCAGGTCTACAGGCATCACCCACGAAGGGAAGCGACAGAACAAAACGAAAATCTAAGCTGAGGAGGAAGTGAGAGGACGAGGAAGACCAGGAGCCCGGGGAGGGCGTCCGTGGGACCAGGTCCGTGCAGAGAAGCCCGCGGGCAGAGGCGGAGGCCGGGGACAGCCACCTCCGCCCCCAGCACCGCGTGCTGCTGCCGTCCCAGCTGTGTCCTCGGGCCCGTACCACCGACCGGCACCTCACCCCTGATCCTGGGGGACTACCACCCCTGACCCGGAAGTGTTGCCGGTCAGCTGACTCGGGACACATCCTCAAAACAGGACGCTGAAGCACGGTCCCCAAGAGTGGCCACGCACACGGAACGTCCCCTAGAGCGCCCTCCAGCACAGCTGTCCGGGGAGTGCACGCAGTATTCATCTGGGAGAAACTCACCCCCACGTCCCAGAAGGACCCCAAATCGGCTCACCCCGGGGCCCTCCACTCATCTTGCTGGGACCCCCACAGGCCTGAGGTGCAATCTTACATTTAAGGCTCTTTCCACCCATTATCAAGCGTGCATCTGGAAGACACCGTGTGGACAGGCCTGGGCCCTGGCCCCTGGCCTCACCCCGGGGCCTTCAGAACCTTCACATCACACCAACACAGAACCCAGCTTGTTACCTCTGCCCCTTCCCTGCACGGGTTACATTTTTCCACAGCCAAATTGATCATCGCATCCAAAATCCAGTTTGCATTTTAGATCATTTTTTGAGGTCAGAAGTACACACGGCCCCCTCCACCCCATCGGCACACGGGTTCGAACTGCACGGTCTGGTGCGAGACCTGCTACCCACTGAGCGTCTCCATGCTGACTTAACGACAGCAGCGACCAGCGGCCCTGTCCCCACCCCACCCCCAACCACTGGCCTCATGGCCTCTCCTGCAGTCTCCCTCCAATTTAAGAAATTCTCTAGGAGGGTGTGCCCTGAAGTGTACATAATGAACAAATCCATGGGCTTTAAGTTTATTTTGAGAGCAAGAGTGAGAGCACACGCTCGAGTAGGGGAGGGGCACAGAGACAGGGAGAGAGAATCTCAAGCAGGCTCCACACGGTCAGTGCACAGCCTGACAATGGGTCTGAACCTATCAGCAATGGGATCACGACCTGAGCTGAAGAGTCGGATGCTTAACAGACAAGGCCACGCAGGCGCCCCAGAAATCCACGGTTTTACACATCAGGACAATGTGCGTGGAGACTACGTGCTGAGTGCAAAGGCGTCTGCTAGGAGGCAGCACAGACTCAGGGAGAAACGGGCACGTGCAGCAAGCTGTGGAAATCCCGTACGCAGACTCACAGGAAAGCACAAACAGGTCATGGCACAAACACACGAGAGCAAAGCCTGACAGCCGCACTGTCGTCCACAACTGCCAGAGGGCAAGTGATCGAGGCTGCGGACCCCTGCAAGAAGGGGGGAGGTCAAGTGGACGTTCTTGAGAACTTACCTCGAGAAAGGCAGCCCAAAAGAGGTCACTTAGAAATGCTGGTTTCATTTATTCAAGAAACGCATTCATCAATCAAAAATGTCAATAAAGAGAAACTCACAATTCAGAGGAAGTCAGTGTTTGTTGAACAAGGCAATGATCCTGATGTGTTAGGATCTGGCACATTTTGTTTACAGAAAATGAGGAATTACACCGAAAATTACAATGCTTATCTTAACCACACCCTTCTAGAAGGGAATCCTATTCCAAAATCAGAGTCACAGAAATTACTGAGAACTCACAATGCTAACACATTACTGTGACCCTAGAGGTCACAACTACAGAAAGATACCAACAGCAAGGTACCATTTCACACCCAACAGAGATTGTGGGGAAAAAGTGGTGGCAAGGGCGTGGCCACCGGAACGCTTGCACACTGCTGGTGGAAGGCACAGCGGGCAGCCGCCACACAGGGCAGCAACACTGGCTCCCCGCACACTGACCGCCATTGCCCGGTGACCCAGCAACGCCACCCCCAGGTGCAGCCCCCAGAGGAAGGCCAGGACGTCGATCGCACCCAGGGTCCCAGCAACCTTACTCCCAACAGCCAAAAGGTGGAAACAACCCAAATGGATGGATAAAGAAAATGTAGCCTGCAGAGCGGTCTGCCTCTGGCCCGGGGAACAGGAAATGACAAAGGTCCTGGGATCCCTGGATCGGCAACCGTGACCAAAGACCAAGTATTGGAACAGAAGATGTTCCCAGAGCTCTGATCACTTACGAAGTTACGAGGGTTTCAGAAGCTCTGCACGATGTCACCGGCTTGCTCGTGTGAAAAACCCACGCATCTGGTGTCAGAAGGGCTGGGAGGGTGGTGCTCAGCGCCAGGCCCCGCGGAAACACAAGGATTGTGTATACGGCTGATGCTCCAACAACAAAGCCCAAGCTGTGCGGGTCCACTTTTACGCGGATGCTCATCGATGCACTGTAGTCCCGCAAATGTGCTGGCGCTCCCGTTCTTAGCAACGCCTGAACTTTACTGTAAGAACGTGGTACGTGGGGCGCCTGGGGGGCTCAGTGGGCTAAGCATCCAACCGTTTACTTTGGCTCAGGTCATGATCTCATTCATGAGATCAAGCCCCACACAGGGCTCTGTGCTGACAGGGCGGAGCCTGCTTAGGATTCTCTCTCCACCTCTCCTCCCCCTGTTCTGTGTTCTATCAAACTTTAAAATAATATAAAATAAGGGACACCTGGGTGGCTCATTCAGTTAAGCCTCTGACTCCTAATTTTGGCTCAGGTCATGATCTCACAGTTTATGAGTTCGAGCCCCACCACTGGGCTCTGCGCTGACAGCGTGGAGCCTACTTGGGATTCTTTCTCTCCCTCTGCCCTTCTCCTGCTCTCCCACTCCCTCAAAACAAAATAAAAAACAAATATCACCCAAGTGATAAAAACTAGTAGCCTGGGGCACTTGGGTGGCTAAGTTGGTTAATCATCCTACTTCGGCTCAGGTCATGATCTCACAGTTTGTGAGTTCAAGCCGTATGTCGGGCTCTGTGCTGACAGCTCAGAGCCTCGAGCTGCTTCAGATTCTGTGTCTCCCTCTCTCTCTGCCCCTCCTCCACTCATGTTCTCTCTCTCTCTCTCAAAAATAAACATTAAAAAGAAATTTTTTTTAATTAACAGGCTGTATGATATGGCAAACCCCAGGTCCTTATATTTTAAACCATATCATGACTGATTGAAATGCTACTCTCAACTACAGACCCGTCTTGTGGTCACCCCAAGGCAGGAGTAAAGTAAAAATCACTTTCCTTGAGGAACAACTAGAGGAGAATGCGGCCCCTCGGCCCAGGACCACCCACGCAAGCTGCACCGGCAGGGAGAGGAGCACAGCCACCTGGCCCTCTGCCCGCACACCACTCACCGCTGGGCTTGACCTCCCGCACGTAGTTGCTAGGAAACCAGCCGGTCCTGCCATTGTGCGTGCCCTCCCACCAGCCGCCCTCCTCGACCCGCGTGACGTGGATGACGTCGCCCTTCGTAAAGGAGAGCTCATCCTCATTGGTCTGCTGGAAGTTAAACTTCGCTCTCACTACCAGCTGGCTGCTGCTAGTATCAGTCATGTCCTAAAAGGGAAGAGGGGAGAAAAATGTCAGGCAGTCTGCATCATTAGAAAATCAGACGTTTCACTAGGATAATCGGAGCAAGCTGCCCCATTCCAACAGCAGAGCACTTTTTACGGTAGAGAAACAGGTTTCTGACTTCCTGACCCCCCTGACCACCACCACCTCATTTCTGTCCTGTCCCAGAGGAAACCCTTGTAATGGTTTTAAAAGTCTCTTTCTGGCCATAGTTATGCTTCCATACACATTACGTACTTTCATATACACTTACATCAAATTATACAGCACATCCTTCAATACAACTTATAAACAGTTAACACACTGTGGTCATTTCTAGCATTATAAGGATTTTAGTCTTAATTGTGGAACTTAGCTGTACAGCTGTGCCAGTTATTCTCCATTACTGGATTTAAGGTTATTTCTAGTATTTTTCTACTGCAAAACAAGGCTGCATTAAAACCATATGCACCTCTTTGAACATACATGTAAATAAGCATATACCTTAAATTCAGGTCAGAAAATATGGGACACGTTTTAAACTTTAGTACCTATTTCTAACTGCCCTCCAGAAAGGTTCTCCTCACACCAAGCACATTCCCACCAACAGTATTTCAGAGCTATTTCTTTACACATTCACCAGCACTGAATATTACCAAACATTTTTTTATTTTATTTATTTTTTTTTTAAACGTTTTATTTATTTCTAAGAGAGAGAGAGACAGCGTGAGCAGGGGAGGGTCGGAGAGAGAGTCACAGACTCTGAAACAGGCTCCAGGCTCTGAGCTGGCAGTCAGCACAGAGCCCGACGCTGGGCACAAACCCACGAACCGCGAGATCATGACCTGAGCAAAAGTCGGACGCTTAACCGACTAAGCCACCCGGGCGCCCCCCAAACATTTTTATTTTTGTCAAACAGCTGGGGAGAAATGGCACCTCCTTTCAATTTGCATTTTTCCTCAGACATCAAGCCTGTGTGCCGACTCTGAAAGGTGGGAAGAGGGAGGCAGCTGGACTACAGTTTCTTTTTATTTCCACCTAAACCAACAGCAGCAAACTAAACGCATCCCCAGGAAAAGGCTGATCTCCGGGGGAAAGGCGCACTCAACCACCGGCAGGGGGCGTGCCCTCTCAGTCTGCACCTGGGCGTCCACGGGGACAGGGAAGGGACACGTCCCATGCCCCAACTGCACTGGTGACATCAGCAAAGATCAGGCAGGGAGTCCCTGCTCCACCTTACCAGGCGGCGGCATGTGGCCCCATCTGCCCACCGGTGTCCCAAACAACTAGGACACAGAGGGCTTCAGCGAGGAAGGACACGGAGCTGCAGCAGATGCTGGGGTCCCGAGGTTTTTGTCACCAGACCTCAAAGAGCAATTACAAGGTCTCTAGAGACAGATCTAGAAGAAATCTCAAAAAGGAAAAAGAACTTCCAAAATTTACTCAAAATGACAGTGAAAAAAGAGCCCCAGGGACATGAGGAAAATGACAGGCCTGAGACTGGCGTCACCAGCGCCGTGGAAGAGGAAGTGCTGAAAGGCGGTATGAGGAACACGGCTGAAAATGTCCCCAACCTGGCAGAGGACAAAGGTACGGAGCCAGGAAGCCGCGGGGCCCCACACACAAGAAGCCCAGAGAACCCGGCTCAAGTCTCCCGGCAGTGACACTTCGGAAAACCGAAGAGAATCCTCGCATCGGAACAAGCTCGCACCCGCAGTTACCCGAGCTCCCCGGCACTTGACGCCTGGGCGCACTCTCCCCAAGAAGCTCCTGGAAGACGCGCCTCCTCAATAGGGGAGCCAGTCAAGAAGAAAAGGAGAGGGGGAGATGGGCTTGGGCCACCGGAGGGCAGCTCAGGCGGCGGCTGTGGCAGGGACCCGGCTACAAGCAGGAGAGTCTGCAAGCGGCCGCGGGACGCCAGGGCAGGCCCCTGGGAAGGGGTGAGAAACCCTAACGGGTCTCAGTGTTCGAGGGGTTCTTAGAAACAGGCCGAACACAAGGGCTGCAGTCTGCCGAGAACGCAGAGAAAACTGCAACAGGCAACGAGCATGTATTCCAGAAAACAAAACGCTGTCAGGAAAGGAAGCTCGGTGACTGCACACACACTGGCCACGCTGTGGGTCTGGGACGTGGTGAGGGGACACTCACTGCGCCCAACAGAAGCCCTGGGGGCGCTCGGCTGGGAGGAAGGGCCGGGCCGGGGCGCAGCACGAGACCCCGACCCCGCTCCACGGCGGGAAGGCCACACTGACCACAGTGCGGGCCTAACTCCGGCTTCACACAGGCGCCCACGGAGACACAGAGACAAGCCCCCGGGGCCCGAGGGGCAAGGCAGGAGGTGGCGGGCTGCACCAGCTCCTGCACCAAGTCTGGAAGGACCAAATCTAAGTCGGCTGCACGACTCACAAGATACAGAGAAAGCGCAGTGATGATGGCTCTTCAGGAGGGGCAGACAGTTCCTGAAATGTTTAATATTTATTTAAATGCGTATTTTACGTTAAGTTACAAAAAGCACATACACTAGTGTCTCATCTAACCGATTAAACACTTCATACACACTGGACATATGTAAGGTCTCCTCAGCACTGGAAAAACTGAAGGAAAGCTGAACGCCGTGCTGCTCGCTTGGCGCACTTGAATGGCGAGGGGCAGCCTAAAGGTCACCAGTCCCGCCGAGGCCCTGCTCCGCAGCGATGGTACAGGTCACAGCCCCAGTTAGGGAAACCAGATGGGGCTGCCACGTGGTACCAGCTCGTCTCTGCAAACCACGGCCCCCCTGCACCAGCTGTCCACCCTGATCTTCAGCACCTCCCCTTTCCGTGACCCACCCTGGGCAAGCCGGCTTCGTGTAAAACCCACACAGCCAATCCTGGGCACCGACTTCCACAACGGAAGACAACATGTAACCGATACGGGTGCAGAGCAGCCCCGAGGAGGTCGAAGCGCTCAGGAGCCACCCTGCAGCCAACCCCGCCGTGTCAGCTGAGCCACCAGTGCACAGGCCCTCTCCAGCCACAGCACCAACCTGAACATCACAAATGAGGTCGACTACACTCTCCCGCATGTCACCTACTCTCCGCACTCAGGTACTGGTCAGACACCACTGCCACCTCTTCCACACAGAGATGGCCACTCCACAAGGACAGGCGTGTCCGGGGACACGTGGGAAGAAAGGCACAGAGGATGGGGAGTCAGCCTAGATCCTCTAGAAGTTTAGATCCACGCAAATGTGCACGGATTCAGCACCTACTCCACCAAAGATGTAAGCTTAAGATGTTATTCTAAGGAGTGTTACGACCACAAGATGCCAGAGACGGGGTGCGAGAGGGCACCAGACAGGATGCCACAATGGCTCCCGCCATCGTCAGCCTCAGGGCCCAACACTCAACAGGAGCGTTCAAGTCACCACCACTGGGGTCGGCAAACTGGAGAGCAGGTATTTAACCACTGTCCTATTCGGGATTTCTCTCCCTCCCCTGTGTAAAGGCTCTCCTGCGACTGACACTTGTCAGCTTCCGGGGTTCAACCTGACACCCCGCGATCGTCCACAGCACAGGGGGCGGAGCAGGAGCAGCCAGTTGCAGACGGGGTGCACACTGTGGAATTCCGTTTGCGTCATACACAAAATGGGTAAAGCTCATCTTTATGGTCAGAAATCAGGACAGCAGAGGCCTCTGGGAAAGGGAGGCACAACAAAGGAGACACTGGCCAGGTTGTGCTTCTTGATCTTACACTGGAATGTCTGACGTAGAAATTCATCTAGTGGTTTTCTAGATATAGGGTTCAGGTCACGAAGTCAGTGATGGAGGGCACTGGGGCCCACGTACCGTACCTCGTCCGGGAGCAGTAACCTATACCTGCCCCGCTTGCTCCTCACAGCTGCCCCGAGGCCTACAAGGGCTACCTGTCAGTATCATGCACACCCAGACACCCATCAAGTGTTTTATCCCACATCCTGAAGTCACCCGAAACCACGATACCCTGGAGCACTGCCTTCCCACGAGCTCCGCCCTCCCCGCTCGTTCCCTGGAAGGTGTAAGCTCAGTCACAGAAGAAAAACTGGTCAAGGAAACACCTGATTTCTATTCCAACAGCTAGTATTTCCAGGTCTTCTGATCTTATGTAAATACCATTTCTCTACACTTGTTTGCTCATAATGTATTTCATCAAATAGAACGTACCAGAAATTAGAGAATACCCTTTTTATATTCCAAATGCTGTCAGTTATGACATACCATCAAAAAGTAGGACACATGCTACTTCTAGGCCTGTAAGGAGGTTTTGAAAAGGTCCTAGAACTGCTGAGATGTGGTAGAGTGAGGCAGCAGAGGTGTCGGCGGAGATAGAAACAGCGTGCGACGGGTGGACACACGATCGTGCAGGCCTGAGAAACAGTCCTGGGAGCGCAGGGACCAGGGCTGGCCCTGTCCCAGGTGGCAGTGGGGACCACAGGCACGGGAAGTGTTTGAGGGGCCCAAGGCAGGACCCCCACAAGTGAAGGGTGGCAGGAGCAAGCGCCCCACCTCATCATTGCCCCCAAACGGGGAGGGAGACTTGGGAGCTCAAGGTCTTACTTCTCAGGAGTCAGTGGGTGAAGATTCCGGGCACAGAGGGACAGGAGGAATCCCAAAAGCAGTCAGTGCAGTTTATTCACCAGTAAAGGATGAAGTCAGCCCCATACCGGAGGGAAAAGAAGCCCCAAGTCAACAGCCTGAGCCCCGACCCAGGGCAGCCATGGTGTCACTCCGTCCAGGGGAGAGCACAGCCTGAGCACAGGGGTGCAGGAAGAGCTCAATCTAGCAGAGGGAGTGGGGGCCACGGGGTCACCCCCAGAAATGAATAATGAGGAAGCAACAGGAAGTCCATATTAGTGTAGACAGACCAGAACCACTCAAACTGGCCTCCATTACAAGCAAGAAACTGGTCCTGAGACAGAGGGGCTTTGGGACAGAGGCAGGAGCGTGGCGGCAGCAAGCGCCGAGGTGGTGGTCAGGCAACGCATGCCTAGCAGACCAGGGGCTTTCACAGAGCACCCTGAAAACACCCGCCCTGGCCCTGGGAATGGCAGCGCCTCACGCAATTTCAAGGCTATGTTTACTTTAACAAGATCAAGAAATTTATGTTCAAGCACCCACCTATTGTTTTAGCCTAATTTTTTATTACGGAAAATTTCAAACACGAAGTAGAAAATGATGGGTAGGTGGAGGCTCACCTCTCACCTTCTTTTCTCTCTCTCCCCATTCTACCCCTACCCCATCATCCCTCTTCGGCCACTATCAGTTTATTCTCTAGAGGTGTTTTTGCTTATTCATTTTCTCTTTCAGATTCCACATACAAGCAGAATAACGTTTTTATTTATCTTTCTCTTATTTCACCCAGCATTATACCCTCTAGGTCTGTCCATGGTGCTACAAATAGCCAAGATTTTACTCTTCACAGCTGAGTAGACTGCTAATAGATACAGTGCATACGTACATACACACACACACACACTCACACCTTTATTAATCTGTTCGTGGACACTTGAGTTACTTCTGTAGTTTGGGTGCTGTAAATAATGCACCTCTGTATTTACTGCAGCATTTATCTTTTTAGGTTAGTGTTTGTTTTCTTTGGGCAAATACCCAACAACGGAATTACGGGATCAGATGGTGTTTCTATTTTCAATCTGAAGAACCATGATACTGGTCTCCAGGGTGGCTGCACCAGTTTGCATGCCCACCAACAGCGCTGAGGTTTCCGGTTTCTTGGCATCCTCGCCAGCACTTATTGTCTGTCTTCTCGATCCTAGCTACTCTGACTGAGGGAAGGCATTCTCTCTGTGGCTCTGGTTTGCATTTCTGTGACGGTCGGTGAGGAGCACCTTGCCATGGGTCTTGGGAAAAAGGTCAATTCAGGTCCTCTGCCCATTTTTTAACTGGATTTTTTGGTGTTGAGTTGTGTAAGTTCTTACTAGATTTTGGATAATAACGCCTTATCAGATAGGCCATTTACAAGTATCTTCTCTCCTTCAGCGGGTTGTCTTTCCCATTTGTTGATGGCTTCCTTCACTGTGATAAAGCTTTTTATTTGGGTGTAGCGCTAACAGTATTCTTTGTTTTCCTTGCCCGAGGAGACATACCTAGAAAAATGTTTCTGTTGCTGATATGAAAAAAATTACTTTTTGTCTTCTAGGAGTTTATGGTTTCAGGTCTCACATTTAGGTCTTCAATCCATTTTTCAGTTTATTTTTGTGTCTGCTGAAAGAAACCAAGTGGTCCAGTTTTCCCAACACCATTTGCTGAAGAGACGGTCTTTCCCCATCATATATTCTTGCCCCTTGTCAGAGCCAGACGTGTGGTTGTGGTTTATTGCTGGGTTCTCCATTCCTTTCCGCTGATCTGCGGGTCTAGTCTTATGCCAGTGCCGTGCTGTTTCGTTACGGGTTTGTAGCGTGCCTTGAAAACTGGGGTGTGACACCTCCAGGTTTGTTCTTTCTCAACATTGTTTTGGTTATTTGAACCAACACAAACTTTATTTTTTATTTGAACTTTTGTGGTTCCATACAAATTTTAGCATTATTTGTTCTAGTTCTGAGATGTGCACTATTCTTATTTTCACGGGGATCACATCAAATCTGCAGACCGCTTTGGGCAGTGTGGACATTTTAAGAGTACGGGCTCCTCCAATCCATGAGTATCTTCCCACTGGTCTGTGTCACCTTCAATTTCTTGAAGATGAACACTGTTTACAGTGTTCAGAGTATAGGTCTTTCACCTCCTTTGTTAAATTGATTCCTTTTTTATTCTTTTTGGTGCAACTGTAAATAAACAATTTCTCTTTCTGCTGCCCAACACACAGCTTTAAATAAACATTTGTGCCATTCTTGGGGGCACGTGGGTGGCTCAGTCAGCTAAACATCCAATTTTGGCTCCAGACATGATCTCGTGCTTCGTGGGTTCGAGCCCCACATCGGGCTCTGTGCTGACAGCTCAGAGCCTGGAGCCTGCTTCATATTCCTCTGTCTCCCTCTCTCTCTGCCCCTTCCCCAGCTTATGCTCGCTCTCAAAAATAATTAATTTTTTTAAAAAGTCTTGACATTCTTGTTTCATTATAATTTTTAATCGAAGAAACTTACGTAAAGTACCATCAATAACACCTGCAGAACACCCGAAGGGCACAGGAAGCCACTCTTGTGCAGCCCAGGAAGAGGCCGGGCCCACCCCTCCCAGCAGCAGTTAACAGGGTCTTCCGAACACAAGGGGTGGCAGAGAGGCCTTGTGTTTCTGCTGTTACTTAAAATTTCTCTAGCTCATTAAACATTAATCCTATGCTTACTGTGATCTTAGGAACACGCACCCTTCAACATTCCACTTACCTGCATTTTACTTGAAATTATCCACCTGCCATCTAGCCTTCACTTACTCAAAAATGAGTAGTTATAAGTTGGCCCAGGTGAACCGGTGAGGCAACATGTTTCTTCACTTAGAGTTTGCAGATTTCTTACATTTTGCCCTATGAATTTTATAAAAGCTAATTGAAAAACTTTTCCAGGGGCACCTGAGTGGCTCAGCGAGTTAAGCGTCTGACTCTTGATTTCAGCTCAGGTCACAATCTCACAATTCGTGGGATCAAGCCCCATATCAGGTTCTGTGCTGACAGTGTGGAGTCTGCTTGGGAAGTTCTCTCTCCCTCTCTCTCTCTGCCCCTCCCCTGCATGCACGATAAACTTTTAGAAAATATAAATAAAAATTTGTCCAAGTAGTTTGGTACATATTTTTCCTCAATTTGGATTCAAAACACTCTCAATAAAGCTCTGCAGAATTCACCTAGCATTAAGCCCTGTGCCTTGAGGGTCACTGGGCCGGTGGGGGGGGGGGGG